CTGGAGAAGAAGAATAAGGAGATGCGAGAGTCTCTGAATGAGGTGGTTCCAGCTATGAAGCAGTTGGAACAGGAGAGGGCTTCCCTGGGCACCAAGCTCGGCTTTGAAGAGACCAAGCGAAAGATCTCTGAAAACGAGCGTGAGGCTCTGGCGCAAGAGTTAAAGCTGACAAAGGAGGCTTTTTTGGAGCTGAAGGGGAATGTGCAGACCCTAGTGCACAATGGAATGGATGAGCACATCAGCAACTTCATCAGCTCCAGCTCGTTTGACAACATCGTCAACCTCTACCGATTGCCAACTGCCATCATTGCCTTCAGGGACTGCAGAAAGAAGGTGAAGACTGTTTATCCCGAAGTGGATGTTACAAGGATAACCTTCGGAGAGCAAGAAGCTGGAGTAGAGGAAGATGGTGAAAGTATGTCAGTAGAGTTCCGCCCAGAAATCAAACTGAAGTGGGATCATGATGATGATGGACGCACCGTTTTCCCTCCGAACTTCGACTTCGAGTTCGTGGCAATGGAAGAAGAAGGGGCAGAGGTAGGGGAAGACGAGGTAGAGGCAGGAGTGGAAGGAGCTGGAGTGGATGAGGGCCAACCAATTCCAGAAGTGGAGATTCATCCAGTTCCTTCTGATGATGATCAGCCTCCTCTGCCAGACAAGCAGCAGCCAAGACAGCCACCTCTTCCAGCTGAAGAGGAGCTAGTGGAGCCACCTCCTTCAATAGAGAATTAATTTTGTTTTGTTGTTTTTGCTTTTTTGGAGAACATTTAAACAGTTTGTAATGTTTTTACTAAATTAAATGAAATTATGTATTTGTTTATGTTTGGTTTATATTTTTGTTATATTTTATGAATGAAAGAACCAAGAGTACTTGAGACGAATTAAGAAGAAGTAATTCACTTCAGACGAGTTAAGAAGAAGTAAGCCACTTGAGAGATTAACCAAAGTAATTCACTTCAGATGAAAGAAGAAGTAAGCCACTTTATATGAATTAGGAACAAGTACATTATTGCAAAGAAATTAGAAGGAAACAAAGCACTTCAAATGTGAAGTGACATTTATTAACAGAAGTGAATGAACTGATTGACTTCAGATACATAGAATAAAAGGTAAAATGGTTCTCAATAAATACGAAGTGAGAAACGTAAAAAACAGTAAAACTTAAAACACTTGAAAGAATTTTTATTAGGGGTAAAATTTCTTCAAGTTATTGATATTCCAGACTCTAGGAACTCTCTTTCCTTCAGCGTCTTGGAGAATATAAGCACCAGGATGTGGTACCTCGGCCACGGTGTAAGGGCCTTCCCAATTTGGGGCAAGTTTGCCAAAACGAGTTTCAAACCCCGTTAAGCCAGCTTTCCTAAGAACAAGGTCTCCTACTTTGAATGTGCGAGGGCGGACCCGTTTATTGTAGAAGTTGGCTAGCTTCTGCTTGTAGACAAGAGTTCGAAGCCGAGCTTCTTCTCTGACTTCAGCAAGCAGATCAAGGTTTTCCCGAAGCAGTTGTCCATTTCGTTCTTCATCGAAATGGGTGACCCGGAAGCTTGGGACTCCTATCTCGACAGGAATGACTGCTTCGGTACCAAAGGCCAGGTGGTAGGGTGTTTCACTTATTTCAGTTAATTATAACTTTAGCATGCGCTTTATGCATTATGCATATTTGCTCTAAGGTAAAGCATAGCAGAAAAAGTGAAATACTATAGAAATTAATCAAATAAACTTGGTTTAAAGTGGTACCTGTGGCAGTTCGGCTCATGGTTCTGTATGCCCAGAGGACGTTGTTGAGCTCGTCTGCCCCACTTGGCCTTATGCTGCTCCAATCTCGGCCGTATACCTTCCAAAATGCATTTGTTAACAGATTCCACCATGCCATTGGACTCCGGATGATAAACGGAAGTGAAATGTAACTTGATTCCATAACTGGAGCAGAAATCTCGAAATGAGGAACAATTGAATTGAGTTCCATTATCAGCCACAATCTGATTTGGAATCCCATATCTACAGATGATCGAACTGAAAACAAAATCTTCGACCTTCTTAGAGGTAAGACTGGATAAAGGTCGAGCTTCAACCCATTTTGTGAAATAATCTACACCAACAACCAGATGGGTTACACCACCAACCCCTTTCACGAATGGACCCAAAAGATCTAGTCCCCACTGCGCAAATGGCCATGGTGCTACCAAGGTCGTGAGTTCTTCTGCAGGTTGGTGAGTCAGATGTGCAAAGAATTGGCACTTTGGACATTTCTGAACAAAGTAAGTGGCATCTTTGTACATGTTTGGCCAGTAGTATCCTTGCCTTAAGACTTTGTGAGCGAGAGTCCTAGCACCGACATGGCTTCCACAGACACCCTCATGCACCTCTCGAAGTGCGTACTCAGCTTCATAGGGATTTAAACACCGTAGAAGAGGAAGTGAGAAAGATCTCTTATACAGGACTTCATCAACAAGTGTATACCGAGATGCCTTTTTCCTCAATTTCATTGCCTCCTGCCTGTCCTCAGGCACTATCCCGTCTCGTAAGAAGGAGACAATTGAATCAGTCCAGCTCGGCGTGTCAGGATTTGTGCTAATCTCCATCACTCGAGGCTTCGTGAAGCTTGGTTCATCTAAAACTTCTACAAAAACAGATCTGGAGCTTAAAGAGCTATCAGAGGCAAACTTGGAGAGTGAATCTGCCTGTTCATTCTCAGCTCGAGGGATTTTACTCAGACAGAATTTCT